TGTAGCTTTAAAGAAGACCTGAAAGATCTCTCAGATTCACTTTCCAACTGCAGAAAAAAATGTACAGATTCAGGAGTTTGTCAAACTATCCTACTGTCACCCAGCTACCAGTGCATGTATATTCAGAAATAAGCCCCATTTAATCCAGGTGAGTATGTATAGAGTTGCTGCCTACATCTCAAAAACTTTCCACAGTTCAGTTCACCACCACAACAGCCCCCTACAGAGCCTACTGTTAGGAGCAGTTGCTCATTCAACTCAATTAGTTTACATTGTTAGCTGCCTCCGGTTCTCCACACCAATCTATTCAGGAAGCTTAACACCCACACATCTTACCTGAAATAAATCAAATATGGCACTGTTGTGCCCTTTCAATTTTGCAAAGCCTAATGCTAAACATAGCCATTTCCCAGTGGCAGGGATGACCTGTACTCCTTCCTGAATGGCAATGGCCATCCCCCCTGACCATTGGCTATGCTGAGTGGAGCTGGTGGGAGTTGGTCCAAAAGCATCTAGGGCAGGCACCCCCAAACTCGGTCCTCCAGCTATTTGGGGACTACTGTTCCCATCATCCCTGACCACTGGTCCTGTTAGCTAGGGATGATGGGAGTTGTAGTCCCAAAACAGCTGGAGGGTGCCTGATCTAGGGGGACCACATTTGTCTGCATTGGGGATCATCTCCAGACTGGACAAGTTTGGCACATTCAAGGAGATAGCTGATCTACCTGTTACCCACCCCCCAGCCCCCTGCTTCCAAATTATTTAATAGACTAACTGTTCCTTCATGGAGTCAGGCCTGCTTAGCTTCAGTCATAGAATCATGCCCTGTGTCTTCAGATGCATACTTTCCCCAACAATTTTACCCACCGGTTCTGGCTTCTGTTTATCATCTGTATAAAATGTATGCTCATTTCTTTAATGGCAGCAGTAAGCCGTTGTGATCTTTGTTGGAGGTAACAGCAATGGTGGGCGGATGCACAAGAGCAGCAGCAAATGTGGTGAGGAAGCAGCAGCAGTGAACAAATCTAAACTTCTGGATTTGCTTCTAAAGCAAGTTTGGCATTTGGAATCAAATTAGAACTGGCCAGATGAGGGTGTTACACAAAGCCACATGAACAGTCCTACCCTTTGTGTGTTCAGACCCAGAGACCTCCCCCCTAAGTAAAGACACATTTGGCTCAAATTTTAGTTTTGGTTTTTGGCAGAATTTAAGCCACAACTTTATTGATTACAGTGAGTGGTTGCATAGGCTCTGGTTCGACTAGCTCCCTGCACTCTTGCAGGCAGTGCTGACCCAGGGCACCAGCATAGGTCAGCCAAGGGTGAACACCTGGGTAGGCAAAAAGCCAGGAACGGACTATGTTAACCCCCCAGGTGCTCCCCTGGACTCAGGCATGGGCACAACCCCCTCTCGGGGGTTGACCAAACCAGCTGAGTCCCAGGATTCCTTTAACGGAATACCCTTCACATAGGGATGGCGAGAGAGTTCTCCCATCCCTATCACCTGAACCAGTGCCTATCCGCAACCTTACAAGTTGTGACGATTTGCTACGTGGTAGGTGAAACCCAAATGGCAACAGCTAATCAGCCAAGTGGGGAAAATTCCTGCCGGGCCCCTGCCCCAACAACACATGACACACGACGGCATAGCAAAGTCAATTGCAAAAATTGCCCTAAAAGTAGGGAGAGGTGGGCGGGTGTTCCGAATGCACGAGCCGAAAGAGGAAGCTCTGGGTCACATGCATGGGTATATATAGGTCCTTCGATCCGTTTGGACTGCGCCCCATTGGCCAGATTAAACCCAACATCGAGGGACCTACCAATCGGGTGTTGTGGCTGACCAACCTTACCCACCCACAACACAGGAGGTCGGTCTCCAGGTATCACTGCAACATGTGCCCTCTTTTAGGGAGGACACGATTTCTCAACATGGCATTACTGGTACTTGTACATGAGCCACGCCACCCAAAATGATGACGTGGTACCAAATAGGTTAGCTGTGATTTCTTGCAAGATGTTTAGCTCAATAGTTGGAAAACAGGTGGTGATCTTGTAGTTTTCATGGCTGCATGTGTGTTTTATGATGCTGAAGTTCCTTATTCAACAAAGAGTGTGCCAACAGTCACAATACAACACAAAATATGAATTATAATGTCCCATATTATACATCTACCCCTTGAGTTGCATCATCATTCTCTGGGGCAAAAAGAATTATTTTTATGCAAATCCGTGTTAATACACAATGACCTCAGTCTGCATTTATAAATTAGGGAACTGTGGCTGTGCATTGCTCCAAATAAACATTGGACCACCCCAAATGGCACATCCACACCAACAGAGGAATGTCTCTGTGACAAGCCATAGAATGGAGTCCAGCCTACTGCTTTTGCACAAGATGCTGTCAACTATAGCAACCCCAAGAGAAACTTCTCAATTTCACACATGAAATGAAATGTTTATTCAGTTTGCTCCGGCATATGTGGTCTGACTTGTTCATTTTCAAATTAGTCATCATAATGATCATCCATCTCCTCCTCAAATGGATGTTGGCCGTCCTCTGAACCTAAGCCCTGGTTATCACAGTTGGGGAGTTTGCACACATAATTATATTCATAACTGTAGACACAAGTAATAATGCTTTAATACTTCTTCATGAAAATGGCCGTGTCTTATGATGGGGCATCTTGCCAATCCTGTTCAAATGGAAATTATGTTCCAAACTTGTTGAACTCATATTATATAGACCTCTCTGCTTCTTAACAACGGGAGATGGCAGCAGGAAGTCAACAATGTATAAGCCTACATTCTTTTCTAAACAGCAAATCATCTGCCCTTTTTAATTGTTGGCTTTAGGACCAAAAGGAGTTTTATTGAGTAAATATATGGTAGATCTTGTTTAAATATCCAAGCTGTGCAAAAATCTGAAACCAATTAATAACAGCAAGATGAAAGCAGGCTGAACACTGCAGCCGTTCTCAAAGGTGAATTTGCCAACTGTATATCAGAAACGAATTGTCTGTTCACTTTACCTACACAGGAACAAGGAAAAGAAATCTGGGCAGGGGGAAAGGAAGAATGCTATTGATTAACGTGTAACTGAAGCCAAGCTGCCCTTTCAGTGCTGTTGGCAGGTGTTACTACATTAGCTCTGGATTCATGTGTCTAAACACATCTGCTGATTCCTCCTCCATGCTCAGGGAACAAGTGCTTCTGGAACACTGATGACTGACACCAATTCATCTCAGTCATCTGAAAACTTTGCTACACTCTAGAGGGCAGGGTTCTGCCTTGTTTGATGGCACATCTGACCTAGAACTAGTATGCCATATCTAAAACACAAGGGAACCAGGCGTGAGTAACTGGGATTGTTTTGTCAAGGTAGTGTGCCCTTGTAAGGTACTCAAAGGAGCAATGTGGACAAGATCAGAGCTCTTCCAGAAATGAAGTTTTATTGAGAACATGCAAAAAAAAAGCATGATCAAGTCATTCACTATGGAAGGCTGTCCCAGAAATGGGAGAGAGAGGACAGGTAGCAGGGGAATACTGTCAATGCAGATGTGCATTAAACTGATTCAGCTTCTGAAGACAGGGACAAAGGGAATGTTGTGGCAAAAACGAAAAAGCTGGTGGAGGAATAAGAGTTAAGAGGAGAATGACTTTATACCTAGCATTTGTTTTTTCTGCATGGGGCATGAATAGGAGAAGGATGGCTTTACAGTGGAAGAACAGGCACCTGGCCAACATTAGTCAAAAGTTATGGTTTCTTAACAAAAACATGGTAGCTGGACTTACATTTTAGTGTTCAGTGCTTCTTAGAAAGGTCATTTCCAGTCTCAAAATTCTCTGTAGCCAATATGTAGATTGGTACAGTAAGGCTTTGATTAGATTAAAACTGAAATGTTTGGCACTCATTCTATCAATATATCTCACACTAACTGAGCAACAGATGAAGCTACCCACTTATTTTAAGGTGCTTGCAAAGGAGAAGGTTGAATTGATCTAGCAGAACTAGAAGCAGAAGGAAATGGGATGTAAAACCAGATGTTTCCTGATATGATGCTTTGAGGCTGGGCCTAAGCAGCTTAGAAACTATAAAAACTGTTGTCTGAAACTCAGGAATGTGTCTTCTCCTCAAAATCCTGGCAAGAAGTCCCACCTCTGAAGGTACAAAGTGTTTTCAACTTTGCTTTAATCTTGCAAGTGTTTAAGCTCTTGCTGTGTGAGAAGGTGAGTGTCAGTTTTCTTGCTAATTAATGAAGTGCCTCAAGCAACATTACCAGCCTACATGTTGGTTGTGTATTATGGTCTGGATGGTGGGCCAGCCGTACCTCCCACCTCCATATTGTGGGAATGTTAAGGATAGTAGGAAAGGATATATTAAATAAGTATTATACTTCCTTCACTCACACTAGTAAGCGATGTAGCAGAGCAGATTCCCCTCAATATAGCTGGATGCTAGTTTAGAGATTCGTTTGAATCTCTTAGTTAAGATTCTTTCCTGGTGTCCCCTTAAATCCCTCTTAAAAGAATAAAGACACAAGAGTTTTTCTGAGTAAAGTAACAAAAAGTTTACTCACATTTCAGTTCATGATATGATCCCTGAAAGACAGGCTTTACTTAGTGGTTACGCAACAAAGTGTGAATTCATCTCATAGGGAGACTGAACTCATGTGCTGCTGGCTGAGCACCAGCAGACAGCAAAATTACATTAAGACAATAAAATGGCTGCAGGAGAGCAGAATGGCAGCAAAAGATATAACAAGACAAAACTGCAAATGAGAAAATGCTCTGCGTGACTCAGCTCTTTTAGGGAGCCAGCAAGAGCCACGCTCATCTCCCAGGTCACATGCAGGGGGAGGAAGCTCCAGACCAGTGGAACAGGACTTTACACTGATTGGATGTTCCCCTGCCTGTGCCCACTCTAGGGAAATAAGGAATGTTGCATTTGACTGCACCAATGGATTACATCCCACACATATTTGGGGAAATAAATAAAAAATTGTCCAGTAGCACCTTGGAGACCAACTAAGTTTGTTCTGGGTATAAGCTTTCATGTGTATGCATACTTATACCCAGAACAAACTTAGTTGGTCTCTAAGGTGCTACTGGAAATTTTTTTATTTATTTTGACTGCATCAGACCAACACGGCTACCTACCTGAACATATTTGGGGAGTTGCTGATTGCTTGTGAGCTGTGGCCACCTTGAAACTCTTGAATACTCCGTAACTTTAACCCTAGCAGTTTGGTCCTTTCTCTAGCTATGTAAGCAGACCCAAAATGCAGCATGTCATGGTTCTGCATGGAAAAGGACTATCAGGAGGGGCCAACATGGTGCTTCCTAGTTGTTGTTGGACTATAACTCCCCCCATGCTGGCTGGGGGGCAGGGAGATGTCAATTAGAGGCCAACAAAAACTGGAGTCCACCGCACTGGCTATTCCAGAGTAAATAAGAATAATAATAATTTATTTATACCCTGCCTATCTGGCTGGGTTTCCCCTGAAGGCTTACCACTGAACAGGACTGTTGAACGCAATGTCTTGTGCACACCATCAGCCTGCACACACAGTGTTGTGCAAATGGCATTGGTAGCTAGAATTTTATGCAGATAGTAGGTGCAATGCTAGAGGTAGTCATGAGAAAAGACTCCATCCTACTATTGGCCAAATTGTCTCCCATTTCAGTGGGATTCGGCAATAGAACCAAGATCACTATTAGCAGGTAGCATAAAATGCTGGTGGGAGCAAAAAATAGAGTACATGCATTAGAATTTTTTTTGTAGGGGGGGGACAATTACGTACAGAAGAAATCCCTAAAGGGTAATGAACCAGAGAAGTAATGCAGGAGGAAGGCATTTTTGAAACAGATTGTCAAATCAATCTCTCATTATACGCTGCTGCTTTTTAAACAGCATGTTTATGTTTGCTTCTTTAACAACAAGCTTTTGCTTCAACAAGGGCACATATTTTATGGCTTTCCTCCACAATTAATATTTAAAATGTATATTACACACTTTTGTAACTAGAAAAAACTTGCTGCAGGGATATGTCCTAGTTGCTCCGTCGCCCAGCAAATTCAATATGAATAAAAGCATTTAGTATCCATTATTTTTTAGCACAACCACAATTTAGCCTGAGAATCTTCAATGCTGAGTTTTTCCCCACCAGGGAATGGGGCTTTAAAAAGCTTTGAACACCATTCATGGGGAGGTTTTCCTGCACAAACTCCATCGACTTGGCTGAGAGCAGTACAAGAGCACAAGCCTGAAGGAAACCTTTCTGATAGTTTGTGCCCATGCCCCCGCCTCCAGGGTTTGAGAAACAAGGAGCACTTTGCCCATTTCAAAGCAAAACACCAGCTCATAAATGTGACTGCCCCACTCTTGAGTGCATTGCATTTAAAGTTCAATCCCTTTCATTTCAAGAGTTCCCATTTTTTAAATGCATTCAGACTTTGACAGCTTTAGAAAATGGATTCTTTTTAAAGGGGTTACAATTGGCACTGCATTTTATTTCTACATATCATTTTAGGATGTAGACTGGAGCACCGCGATAACTTAGTGTAGTGGTTCTAGGGGTTGCTCGTGCGTAAGCCGGTGCAAACACCTGGCTGGGTTGCCTGAGTGAACCTTTTCTGTCCGGACAGCCACTCACCCGTGGCTGTCTCAATCGCTGGCAGAATCCGTCAGTGGGCATTTCTTAAACTTCTTCCAGCAAAGAAGCTCTTTGACGCCTAGTCTCCTCCTACTCTCTCTGCGCGAAAGCCTTCTGCGCAAGGAGGGCGTAGGCAGCGGAGGACCCTTACTCTCCCCGCTGGTCCCCGGCAAGGAGTCATGGGACCGCCTCGCCGCTTCCGCCATCTGCCCCCCTTCTCCACTGGTGCTACGCTGATTCTCTTCCCCAGAAGATGGGCTGCCTCTCCCACTCCCGGGACGCTCTCCGGAATCCCTCTGGAGCTTGCTCTCTCCCTCCGGCACTGATGGCAGTTCCCTGACATCCAGCTTAAATTTATTTACCATATTAGAGGTCTCCCTACCATCTTACCAAACTAAACCTAAAACAGTATTGTTACATGCCACTCCCAGTCCCTGTTGTGTGGTAGCAAGATGGAGTTCCAGACCCATGGTCTGTTTCCTTTCAGAAAATGGGGCACAGTGGAGACTGTGGTCGCATGGGTAGGCAAACTAAGGCCCGAGGGCCAGATCTGGCCCAATCGCCTTCTAAATCCGGCCTGTGGACGGTCTTGGAATCAGTGTGTTTTTACATGAGTAGAATGTGCCCTTTTATTTAAAATGCATCTCTGGATTACAGTGGTACCTCAGGTTAAGTACTTAATTCGTTCTGGAGGTACTTAACCTGAAACTGTTCTTAACCTGAAGCACCACTTTAGCTAATGGGGCCTCCTGCTGCTGCCATGCTGCCGGAGCATGATTTCTGTTCTCATCCTGAAGCAAAGTTCTTAACCTGAAGCACTATTTCTGGGTTAGCGGAGTCTGTAACCTGAAGCGTATGTAACCTGAAGCGTATGTAACCCGAGGTACCACTGTATTTGTGGGGCATAGGAATTCGTTCATTTTTCCCCTCCAAAATATAGTCCGGCCCCCCACAAGGTCTGAGGGACAGTGGACCGGCCCCCTGCTGAAAAAGTTTGCTGACCCCTATGTGGTGTCTTCATGATATATGATTTATTTACAAATATATACATCTCGAGCCTACGATGGAGGGGCTCACAGCATCAGCATTCCAAGAGGGCCCTGCTTCTCCCATAGGCACAGCTGCATCCTTGGTCCCACAAGTCACATCCCAGCTCACTAACCTAAGCACTGGCCTTTTCTAACACAGAAGCCCCCACCCATTGGCCCTTTCACACCTAGTCCTTTGATCCTGGTGCTAATGACCCATTACCCTAGACTAACATCTCAAAGGAAATTACCTGACTCTATTAGTTTCTAACACATGTAGATTCTAAAGGGGAGCTGTCTAATAAACAGTCTAGGAACTTTGGCTACCCATATTAGTTTTTTCACACATGCTAATTCCAGAGAATTAAAAGCATCTAACATGCATCTTAGAAGGGACGCGGGTGGCGCTGTGGGTTAAACCACAGAGCCTAGGTCTTGCCGATCAGAATGTCGGCAGTTTGAATCCCCACGACGGGGTGAGCTCCCTTTGCTTGGTCCCCGCTCCTGCCAACCTAGCAGTTCGAAAGCATGTCAAAGTGCAAGTAGATAAATAGATACCGCTCCGGTGGGAAGGTAAACAGCGCTTCCGTGCACTGCTCTGGTTTGCCAGAAGCGGCTTAGTCATGCTGGCCACATCACCCGGAAGCTGTACGCCGGCTCCCTCGGCCAATAAAGCAAGATGAGTGCCGCAACCCCAGAGTCGGTCACAACTGGACCTAATGGTCAGGGGTCCCTTTACCTTTTTAACACACATCTTAAAACACACAGGTCTAGTAGCAAACAGTTTTAATACATTGCCCTCAATTAAATTCTAACACTAACTTGATCTGGAATTTAGGATGTCTTGCATCCATAGATTCACAATACTATACATGCATTATTAATCCAGTATCAATTACTGTGATATTAATGTTTTGTTGGATCCTGGAACAGAAGCGTCTATAAAGGAGGAGTCATTTATGGCGTGTGTAGCTTCATCAAAGCTGCAGAATTATATAAGGAAATAACAGCATCAACCACTTCATAAACTTATCAGTGAAAGGAGATTTGTTGTAAAAAGTTATAAAATGCAGTTGTTAAGTCCAATACATGGTATATCTTTCTCAGTAATAGTTCAATCATCCAGTATAATGAATGAAATGTGGACTAATGCACTGCTTATGGTTTGCTTGTTCATTCCATCTGGGTTTGTTTTGCTTTGTTATTTACTTAATGGTAAGCATAGTTTAGAGGCAATATCCGAAGGGATTTTGTACCATATTTGAAAAACGAAACTAGACTGCATGATTTTACAAGTCACTTGTGGCTGATTCATATAACCTACTCCAAGTGTCAGGAAGTAGCTTGCTGTATAATGAAGGGTGTGGAATGAAGTGGTAATAGAAATGCTTCAGCATGAATCTGGTCAGCCCATAGGGAGCTGAAAGATGAACCTTGGTAAACTCACTTAAACAGGAATGTCAATGGCATTTGTTGTTTTTTTTAAATACGACTTTTTACTGGGCTTCTAAAATGTTTCTGATTTTATTGTCCTATATCTATTGTATTCTTCCTGTTTTGACTTTATATTTCCAAAGTTTGACAAAAAGGCGACTTGGCCATTTAAAAAATACATCTAAATATTTATCAGTTCACTGCTTCCGTATGCCTTGTTCAGTCTAGAACCATCTTTAAAATTACATTATGATAGAATAACCGACTCGTGGAAGGTACCCTTATTCCATGTGGGGCGGGTCACACCCAGGCTCCCAAGACAGGAAAATGTGTGCACTGACTGTTGCAGATGCATAACACCCTGCAAAATCAAAGCCCCTGTCTGTATCCAGAAGTGTATCTATGGGCAATTTAAACAGAAGACTCGGTGTGTGTGTGTGTGCGCGCACGCATGCGCTTTATTGTAAACCCTTTTTCAAGTCAGCAGCCCCCCTCATTCTGCCCACTGCACTTCATAAACAGGTTATTTGAACCCTAACAATTATCACAAATGTCTTTCAATGTAGCCTTGGGAGACAGGAAGCAGCACTATGGCATTAGGCCTATGCTAGAGGTGGGGCATCTTTCTCTAGCCCAAGGCCCACATTCTTTTCTAGGCAACCTTCTAGGGGCCACAGCCAGTGGTGGGTGGGGCCAGAGGCAAAAGTGGGCAGGGCAATGAATGTGAAGTTTGTTTTTGTAAACGCATCTCTTTGCTCCATCCAAGCATCCATCCTTGGGCCTGAGGTTCCTCACCCTTATACACGTACCTGGATTAGTTCAGCCAGAAAAGAGTTTCTTTAAAAAACAAACCTGCAGTAAAATATGGAAGCACTTTAAAGTGAATATGCAATGGTCTGTTATTGGATGGAAAATACAGCCATGGGTTCTTCCATTTGTGTGTGAACTGAGACCCGCAAACTGCCCTGTATATAGGCCATAAAGTGATCCTGACCTG